ACTGGCGTCTCTCAGGTTCTGATGTTCTTAGAGCTCAATGCCTATTCACAGTGCTGTGAGGTGTCTTTTTAAAACCTGTTTCTACACAGATGTTTAGATCACTTTGGCTTCCTTACAGCAACGCCGCTTTCTGGAGCATCCACATGATATTGTCGTCTCTTTGTCCTGCTTCTGTGTTTTCCCCTGCTTTGCTGTGATCTTTCCCAAACCTGTCTGAGTACCATCTCTTTGGAAAGATAGTAGTAAAAGTGGCTTTGGAGGCCATGTGGACAGGAAGCATGTGCTTTTGCCATACCCATCCACACTGGTGCCGCTTTCCCGACTTCAACCCCTGCAGCTGCCATTTCCCCACACAATCTAGAGGGGTTTGGGGTGGTTTTTTTTTAAGGCTTTAGAAATATTGAGGATTGCTACTGTGGTCTCCTAGTTCCCAGATTTCACTAGGGGAGAGAAGTAAACCTCCAGCTCTTTTCTTTGCAGAATTATAAAGGGAAAGGAAGAGGCATCACATTTCCCTTTATAACTCAACAATGAAAAGGGGGAGATACTTACTTTAAAAAGTTGAAAGCTGGGAAACCGAAAGAGGTAATAGAATCATCATTGTGTTGTTATAACGCTATAGCAACCTAGCAATTCCTGACCCTTTTTTTGATTGCATCTGAAGTAAGTCTCTAGGTGCTTAGAAAACAAGTTCCTCCCCTCCTCCTGACATCTGTCTGTCTGTGTCAAAGTCAGATTTACATCAAGGCCACAAAGGTGGGGGAGGAGAGTTTCCCAGGGCCATTTCTCTAATGGAAATCCCTCCCTGCAGCTGTATTGGTTGCAGTAAGGGGGGAAGAAAAGGCAGGTGTAATATGCATATCTGTCTTTCTTTAGTGTGCTGTAGTGCAGGAATCGGGCGACAACCAAATATTGTTGGAAAGTGGGTAGGTACTTGCCCAACAGGGCTTCTGATTGGCTGCTGGAGAGTTGATTGGCTGGGCAGACTGAAACAATATTTAAAAGGCAGCTGCAACCACAGTGTGGGTTTTATTCTCTGTCACTCCTGATTTCCAGTGGTGTTTTTTTTAATTACCTCCCTTTCCCCCTGAACTTGGGCTTCCTCCGTGCATGTGGCTCTTGCCTGCACAGCACCCCTGTTGTGGCTGGCCCCACCTCCCGTGGCAGCCATTTTGTGGTTGCGCCCGCCATCCAAAATTTGCCACAGGCTCAAAAAGGCTGGGGACCCCCGATGTAGTGGTTAAGAGTGTCAGACTAGTACTGGAGAAACCCAGGCGACTTTGGGCCAGTCCCTTTGTCTCAGCTTAACCTCTCACATCGAGTTGCGGTGTGGATGGAATGGGCCAGGAGAGAACCACGTATGCCTCTCCAAGTTCCTTCAAGGAAGGGTGAGGCAAAGATGTGACATTTGATGTTTGAGGTAATAGTTGTGAAGGATTTTCTGTCAGGGGAAATCGATGCTGTAGCCCCACTTCAAATAGGGTCCTCCTGCCGTCGCAGACAGATAATGACTGAGACGTATTAATGCCATTGCCCCAGGGGCGGATGAAGGCTCACTGGTGCCCTAAACACTGACCAGTCTTGGTGCCCCCCTTCTTTCCACGCTGACCCAGTCCATTTTAGTTGTTGACCTGTCTGACCAGATATACAGTGCAGGTTGCAGCAATACAAAAATTTATTCATATGATAACACAATATAAAGGGAAAACTCTATGGTTTTCCCTCGGATGGTCGTGGTCCCGCCCCCAGTGTGCCCGGCATGGTCGCGTCACTTCCGGGTGATGTGTGTGCAGCACGCGCGCTCCAGCCACGACGCGGGAGTCCCCCGGTAAGGAGATCTTTCGACTTGGCAACCCTAAATGCAGGTTGCAGCAATACAAACATTTATTCATATGGTAACACAATATACTGTACAAACTAAGCTTTTCACCCTTTTCCCAACTTTGTGGCACCCCTTTGGCCCTGGTGCCCTAAGCACGTGCCTAGTCTGCCTAATGGTGAATCTGCCCCTGCATTGCCCCAATCAGAGATACTGCAGATCATCAGAGTGGCTCTGGGTGACCTGAACCCTAACCCTGGGAATTCCAAGTGGGTGCCAAAGATTTCTGATGCAGTGGAGGCCAGAAGGGGAGAACTATTAAAGATTCGATGCAGTTTTCAACGGAGCACGCACAGCAAAGCCTTCAGGAAGAGAGAGTTTATTTTCAGGAGGCCAGGAAAAAAAGATCAGTGAATTGTGGCTGCTATGTCAGGAAGAGGAAAGGATGAACCTAGATGGACCTCTCTTCCTTCCCTGAAAGTGCCCTATTGTCCTGGTAATGTTTTCACTTCGACGCCATTGTTTTTTTGTAATTAATTCCTGCTCGTGTCTATTTGATGGTGGATTCCGCTGCTGTCGATTTGATGGTAGGCGCCCTGTTGTTTCTGAGCAACGAGTCAGGAAGAATCCAAGGTAGATGGGAATTCTTGGCTGCTACTGATCTTCTTGTAGGGAGATAATTTGCCCTCTGCGCATTTCAGTGGTGCTAATTTTAAACTGTACTTTGCTCACCTGGGCCTTTCTAGGTTTAGGTGGGTAGCCGTGTTGGTCTGAAGCAATAGAGCACGAAAGCTTATACCCAGAATTAAACTTTGTTGGTCTTAAAAGTGCCACTGGGCTCAAACTTTGCTCTAGGCCTCTCCAGACACATTTATTTCCTGGCAGTAAATGCAAAGCTTTGATTATTCATTCATCCTGGGGAATCCAGGAATGTTAGCTTAAGCTGTTAGGTGAAAGGTGAGACATTGCATCAGTGATGACTTTAGAAAAAATTAGTTTGAATGAATGAAAGACTGGCAAAGGTTTAGGGGAACAAGAATTTTCTTACATCCATTATCGAATGGAGGTGAATAGAAAGGTAATCCATGCTGTAGGACCTTCATATGCTATGACTGAAAGCTGGGGGGATGAAAGGGGTAGTAGAAAATACTGGGAGAGTAAATGACAGATAAAAGTGCCCACGAAAGTGCCCCGTGGATGCTGTGTGGTCAGTGCAAATGTCCATGCATGCATGGTGGTAGGGATGCCAGCCTCCAGGTGGGACCTGGGGATCTCCTGGAATTATGGCTCACCTCCAGACTACAGAGATCAGTTCCCCAGAGAAAATGGATGTTTTGGAGGTGGGACTCTATGGCATTGTACCCCACTGAAGTCCCTGTCCTCCCCAGGCTCCATCCCCAAATCTCCAGGAGTTTCCCAACCTGGATCTGGCAACCCTACACCCCCATCCCCCACCAGTGGCTGGGGGGGGTGAACCTGGCAACCCTGCATGATGGTGTTGACAGGTTAAAAATGGGTTGCTTACTTGTAACGGTTGTTTCTCAAGTGGTCATCTGAGCATTCACACCTGCAAAAAATTTAGCCCTCGGACTAGAATGCAACGGGCAAAAGAGAATGTAGTGAGGTAAATCCTCAAGTTCGTGGGAACCACAAATACATAGACGATGGGCCAATGGAGTTTGATTGAATCGGTCCTCCAAAATTGCTGTTGGCATTGATTGACACCGTAGAGAGGTAAAGGACCAGGAGGCACTGCACTGTCTTGCTTCATTCCTTCCAAAAATGTATGAGCACACGGCAGCAAGTTAAAAAGGTACCTGTTCTGGAAGAGATGGGCGGGTCGTGTGAATACACCCACATGGCCACTCAAAGAACAACAGTTACTGGCAGAATGGAAAATCCTTGCCAGGTAGACTCAGCATAGGACAACTTAAACCTCAGGCCTACCTGGGAACTTTGTAAACTCGGGACACGGCTATGGATAGTTTACCATGCAACAGGGGTCATTTCCTGCGGGAGCGCGCAGGAGCGGAGCTCTGGCAGTAAGGAGCTTAGGGGGCGGGCACATGCAACAAGCCCCGCCCCCTGCTCCCAGCAGCCCTCAGTCGGGCCACAGGAGGAAGAAGCAGCCAGGTAAGTTGCAGAGCCCCCCCCCTTCAGGTACAAGGTCTCCCTCCCCTGTGAGGGCAGATCTGCACCCCCCCAATAGCTAGCAGCCCAAAACAGTCCAGTGGAGCCTGAGCCGTGGGTGTTGCCTTCTGACACACTTCCGGTGATGTCAGGGGGTGTGGCATATGCAAATAAGTTATGCTAATGAGCTCCTGGACCTCTTTTTCTACAAAATGACCCCTGCCATGCAAGAATATGGAAAAAGTAAATATACTCATATAATTATAAAGGTTATAAGTGTGCTTTATCCCAAATATAATAGTAAGTATAAATTAGATGTAATACACATACAACTACATATAAATCAAAAGTCAAAATTCAATCTTTAAGGTGTCCGTTCCAAACATTCGAAAAATCTGACACAGGAAAACTTGCCAAAGAATTATCCTGCTGTGTAAGAAAGTTCGCTTCCTCCTGAATTCGTTGGGGTGATGAAGCTTGTAGCAAGTAAGGATCCACGCCAGTGCTCCCTCTAAGGTGTGGAGTCTTGTGAGCAAAAAATTCTACTCTGTGAGCCACTGGCATTACGAGCATAAGAGCATAAGAGATGCCAAAGTTGGATCAGGCCAAAGGCCCATCCAGTCCAACACTCTGTATCACACAGTGGCCAGAAATACCAGTGCCATCAGGAGGTCCACCAGTGGGGCCAGGATATTAGAAGCCATCCCACTGTTGACCCCCCCAAGCACCAAGATGACAGAGCATCAATTCGTTGGGGTGATGAAGCTTGTAGCAAGTAAGGATCCACGCCAATGCTCCCTAAGCTGTGGAGTCTTGTGAGCAAAAAATTCTACTCTGTGAGCCACTGGCATTAAAGTTGTGAGTGAGCGATTTGGCTTCCGCATAAATTAGTTTGCTCTGGAATCATCCTTCCTGAGCTAAGACAAAAATGTGTGAGCCAGAGGCTAACAAACTGAGCTAGCTCACACTAACTCAGCTTAGAAGGAACGCTGATCCACACCCAGCGAGCTAGGAATAAAAGCTGCTTCTAGACTCTCTTTCTCAAGAGGTAATGATCCTTTTCTTCAAAGCTGATGATCCGTCTGCAAACGGAATCAATTTTCACAGGTAATGAGGTACATTAATGACGGAACGCAGCTGCCTCCAGATTCCAGTTCTTCAGCACTGACATACTCCCGCAACCGGCTCAGCGTTCTACTTTGATGGCTCCTTCGCCTCACATCATCCAGCTTGTGACATCTACTGCTTGTCTTCTGAATTAACCAACTCCAGTGTGCTCTGGGGCTGGGGAGGGCAGCCCTCTGGCCACAGCCCAGCTCAGTGGCTACAGGGAGAGGCTGCTAAAAATGCCCTCCGTCGCCCAGAATGTTTGACTTACAGTCTGTCTCCAAGTTGTGATCCGCAGAGTTGAATGTGGACAAACTATGGTTACCTTTTGTTGGAGTTTCTTTATGAAAATTGCGATCCAGCAGAGGAAAAAACAGCTTAGCAATGCCAGAATGCAATAATCAGACTCAGAGTCCATGTGTGTTTAAAAATATAAAAGATTTTACTACATTCTAGCACAGGGAAAGGTAACTGGGAGGAAAACAACAACAGAGCTAATCCCTACATCTTCACTCTACAAAGGACGAGACTAGAAGAGCTGCAATGGCCACTCTTACACGCTTCTTGTCGAAACAGAACAAAGAGGGGAAGAGGAGCCATAAAATGCAAAGACACTTTGACGCTTTGCTTCCAATCAAACTCCTGGAACAGGAAGAATTTTCCCGGGCTGGGGGACCTAAACTAACATTGGCTTACACAAAAGCATGTGATTTCCTGTAACAACAAAACAGACATTTAACCCAATATATACTGAGTGTTTTTATCTTGTAACACCCAACACAGGCCCTCAAGGAGATTGTTTTCTTAAATGGAAAATGAGGGAGACAGGAAAGAGAAGGGAGGTGAATATAGACAGGGGAAAATATCCCTTTATTCCATTTAGGCTTAGTATTAGAAGGGGAGGGGATAACATGACTAGTATCTGGGACAGCTGAGTTCAAATCCTCACTCTGCCAAGAAGCTCGCTGGGGCAGTCACATTCTCTCAGTCTAACCCCTGGGGTTTTGTGGGGATAAAACAAGGGAGGGAAAAGCAGGTATGCCGCTCTGAGCACCTTAAAAGCAGCGCAGGATAAAAAGGCACTGAAAGTGGAGGGGGTGTTATGTATCACAATGGAACCGTACTTGCGAAAGGGCTTGCTAGCGAACATGAGGAATAGTGTATCTTGGAGCGCATCACAATAGAAGGTTTGGATCCTAGAATGAACCAATAGATTGATCCGGATCCTAGTAGTAGCCAATTGGTAAACTCTGTAAATAGCCTATTGTGGGATGTGTGTTGGGTGTGGTGTGTTTCATGAATATAAGCTCCGTACACTTAACCACTACACCAAACTGGCTCTCAGACAGGCAAACCAGAATAATTTAGGCGTGTGCAATGCTTGACCACCACTGTCCTTTCTTCTAAACCCTTTGCCACCCAAAGGGGAAGAAAACCAGACTGTTTCTCCATAAAGGGTGAGCTTGTCACAGCTAGGAACCTTTCCTTTGGGAGGAGGGGAGTTCTAATCCCCAAAGGCGCATGTGTGTTGAGTTCATTTCAGGTTCCCAGGCACCCAGTTTCGTGTTCCTCCAAGCTAATTACAAGGAGCTCTCACCCAGTGTGTTGAAGGTAACATGGTTAACAGTTTCTGTGACTGGTTAACAGTTTCTGTGACTGGCTGACGGTTTCTGCTCTGGTCAATTTCATCTTCAGTACACTGGGTGAACTCTCTTAAGGCCAATTCACATGATACGAAATCTTTGTGTCCCACATGTGCACAGTCAACAAATGTGGTCTAGGAATTCCGTCCTTGGAACTTGATGCCCTAGCGTTTAGAGGCCCAATTCAGATTGGGAATGTGGTACACAGGGAGAGGGAGTTTCAGCCTTCCGCCTCTTCCAGTTTCCTGACCTGAAACAATCCCAAAGAGAGATCAAAATGGATAGCTGAGTTAGTCTGTAGCAGTAGAAAAGAGCAAGAGTCCAGTAGCAGCTTAAAGGCTAACAAAACTAGGGGCAGGGCAGGCGTCATTTCCTGCAGAAGCGCACAGGAGCGGCGCTCTGGCAGTAAAGAGCCCAGGGGGCGGGCACATGCAACAAGCCCCACCCCCTGCTCCTAGCAGCCCTCAGTCAGAGCAAGAAGCAGCCAGGTAAGTTGCAGAGCCCCCCCCCGGACCCCCGGCCCAAAGCAGTCCAGTGGCACCTTTAAGACCAAGTTTTATTCAGGTACAAGCTCCCCCTCCTTTGCGAGGAAAGATCTGCACATTCCCCCCGCATCCATAGCT